AATGGGTTTTTTTTCGTCTCAGTCCCTTTCGTTCTCAGTAACCCATTGCATTCTAGTGGTCTTTACTGCCTTGCTTAAGGTGAAATTATTCTAAAAAAATCCCAACCTGTATTAGGAAATGTTACTGGACGATCTCCTCAAAAATAAAGAAGAGACTTGAAGCAACAGAAATGTGATTCTACAGAAAGATGCTGAGGATACCAGGGATCGAATATGAGAACAACAACAAGGATTGGGAGAAAATATAAGCAAAAAAGAAACTTTTACTTAACATCAGGAAGAGGCAGTTGAAATTTCTGGGACACGTATTAAGGAAGTGGGACTTGGAAAATCTGATACTCACAGGACAGGTAGTGGGAAAGAGGGACAGGGAAAAAACAGCGCGTTGATGGGTTTAAGCAAATGGGTGGCAGAACAGGCTTTGGGAGAAACAAAAAAAAACTATTAAGAGTCAGAAGGAACAGGAAAACGTGGAAGGCCATGATTACATACGTCCTGAAGGGATACTGCACCTAAAGAAAGAATAATTCCGCAGCAAATTCACGTACCATCTCGGCCAATGTTAAAATCATTTCATAAATATGCCTTACTTATGTTTCAAAAATGTTCAGTATTTTATTGGTTTAAGCGGCAGTGTGAAGCTGGCTATATAGGTAGGACCACTGATCTACTAGAGAATCGAGCCTCATATGTATCAGCATGCATCAGGGGAAGGCAACCTAACAAGTTACAGAAAAGTTCCGTTACTTCTGAATCTGCAATCTCAGAATATTTCGTTAAAAATTGGCAATACGCACCGTCTTTCCGCAAAGATATGCTCTCAATGTTGAGTGGATCCAGGAGCGTACAGAAGAAGGTGGAGTGGGGGCAGAGGGCGTGACGCCTCTGGCATCCATATTTGTAGGGCATCCAATCAAAGAGTGAAATACAAAATTTACTTTAAAGATATGTTTAGTGGCTGAAAACTTCATCACTGCCATAAACAGACAAAAATTAATTTTATTATTACCACGCATGATGATAATAAAACGTGAAATCGGTTTCGAAGCTCGCGCAACAGATCTAAATCGAGGTCAAGGAAATAAATTATTCTAAAAAAAGAAAAATGGACAAAGTGTATTGGGGGGGGGGAACATCACCAGACCTCAGCACGTCTGTGAGTGGATCACATTCCGACTAAAACTTGGAGACAATTTATAGTAAATGGAGTCAGCCTTCTTTGTGTAAACAAAAGAAATGGTTGTTTTTCTTGGAGTGTGTGATGATTTTATAAGTATACGGATTACAATATATTACTGATAGTGCTCATTTTTTTATTCGCGTTTTCCCGACTTCTTTCTTTCGGTCGTTATGCACATCATTTTAATTCCTCGATTGAGAGAAGAACGAAAACCGGTCAGCTGACTCTATAATATTTTTTATTTTTATTTTCGTATTACTGTCTGTCATGACTTTGTGGTTTTCATTTTTTTCTAGCTTGCTCTAGTACCTTTTTAATATGTCCGCTTTTATAGCATGGCAAAAAAATCATTTGACTAAAAATTAACCTTTGAAATTCTGGCGTTGAACATAACTGGCTAACGGCGACATCACGTTGAAACTCCAGAAAATCGGGTACTGTAAGCTTAGATGTGCGGTTGGTGTGATGGATATTGGTCATTGGAAATCAGAGAGCTGAGTTCCAACTCTAGTTAGGTTCTTTATGTTCACTTACGCGCACCTATGATCATATAAGCTCACGTATAAATCCAACTCTTCGCCCCCACCTATGGGTTAATTAGTAGGAGTTGTATCAGTAATTCGTTGGGATCTCCCAAAATTTAGCTTTAAATAATCTGAAAAAAGGTAAAGAAACAGTCAGTTGACCATGAAACGATGAATCGATCGAATAATTTGTACTGTTACAGTTTATCAACACTTTATCGTTTATTTTTATTTTTCAAATGAATATTGCATTGACAGTTTTTTAGAAAATAACTGTCATTTTTCCAGATACACGTTCTTCTATTTAACCCATAGCTGGGGAGCCTGACTTGAAACAGCAATTAGCATCTGTTGAAAATATGAAATTTTGTATATTTTACATTGTAAGAATATTTTAGATTGTAAGAATATATTTAGATAAGATTTTTTTTTAGATATTTTAGATTCTAAGAATATTTTTTTCTCTTGTAACTGAATATTCTATTAAAAATTCTTAGAGATTAACAATGATTATTCCAGATACAAGTCTTACTATTTAATCCATAAATGTGGGTGTGGCCATGGCTTGAAACAACAATTAGCATCAATTAGCAGAGAAGTGTCCCGGGTTTCCGGTAATAGACAGTGTTTCGTCTATATACTTTCACAGAGAATTCCAACCTCGTAGTAACCTCACATTCAAGGTGATTCAAAAATTGTGCCAGATGTTTGTTTTTACGGCTGATAAATGGCTTTTTTTCTGACTTGCTATCTGTATTTCCGTGTACAAGAAAGAAGAAATCAATAAAAGACATGTTTATCTAGCCATTTATTTGGAGAGGAAATTATTAAGAATCGGCAGCAAGCCGTTTTATTTGCATCATTCAAATGCATTACTAATGCGTAATTTCAGCCGTGCAGGCACTGAACACTAACAGTTCGATATCAATTTCCTCAAATTTTGCAGTGATTTGAGCTTTCAATTTATAACTGGCACTAGGCTTTTTCACGATAAACAAGACCTTTCATGAGACCAGAAAGACAGAAATCTGGAGATGTGAAATCTGAGAATCGTGCTGGATACTTTCTCGGAACGCGGTATCTGATGCACTTTCCGAAATAGCTTTTCATGAAAGCATTAACGCAATGGTTCCCAACCTTTTTTATATGGCGGCACACTACTGAGTTCTTTAAATTTTCGCGGCACATCTATCACAAAAAATAAATTTTTGCAATAAAATAATAAAAAAACAAAGAATATTATATAAGAAGAATTTTTATTCACATAAATCAACATATCCTGTATTGAATATCGGGTATAAAATAATAATTGAGAATGTCAGTGGGACAGTAGTGCCTGGTGCCTCTTGACTACTGCTGCAATATTTGGGTGAATGTGAGAGAGAAAAACTCTTAACTCTTCTTCAATATTTTTAAGTCTTTCACGTTTTCTTTTTCTTATTTTTAATGTTGTTTAGGCCAGAAAATCCCAGTTCACATAGGTACGAAGTTGAGAATTGCAGTAAGATTTTCATGGCTTTTTTACTTTGGATACTCTTCCATAACGGCAATCCAAAAGGCGTCCAATGGCAGTTGTGCGTACTTCAATTTGAGACCACGATCACTGGAAAAGCTTGCTAATTCTTCCTCTTCGCATAACTCAAAATTGAAAAGGTTGATGATTAATAAATCTAGCAACGGATTGTGAATCTAATCAAATTCTTCAATGCTGATTGAGGGGAAATAATCTTCAATTTTATTTTCTAAACATGTCAAATGCTCACTAATAATGGGAATCATCTCGGTAACGCAGGTTTTGCGAACAAGGGAAATATATCCAAATCATCTACCTTTATTCTTTTCATCCATATTGCAACTTTATCTGTTGCCGTAAGAATATTATCATTTTGCCTTGCATATTGCTGTTCAGACTATTGAGATGTTTAAATATCTCATTTAAGTACTCTATTTTAGACATCCACAATCCATTTTTAAGGTATTTACAAAATCTATCAAGTTCTTCATTTTCTAATTCTAATTTATTTTATTACGTTAATGATTAACGTAATAAAAACAAATTAGAAATAACTAGTAAAGCTAGTAATCAGTAAGACATATTCTTACATCAGAATCCCGCTGAATTTTAATACACACTGATTTTATCAATTAGAGTGTTGGAAAAATAATTACGTATTCAGTAATATGAATTATGAATCAACCAAACAACGTTGAATAGTACGAAACTGCGTCTACAGTTAATTTAAAATTTCTTTTCTTAGGATGTTCGGACGGTAATTACGTATTTAACCGCTATAAATTATAAATTAATCAACCAAAGCAGAATTAAGGTTGATTGGTAGGAAACTAAGAGAAGAATTAATTTAATTAAGTAATTACATATTTCGTTCCTATGAATTATGAATCACCCAACCAAGGCTGAACCAAGTTTGAATGGTAGAAAACTGCGTCTAGAATTAGTTTATCGTCTATCCGAAATTTTATTTTATTTTATTTTTTACTCCTTTTCAGACTGTGATGTCATGAGAGATAACTAAAAAAATTATTATTTGTTTGTTTGAGAATGAAAAATAAGGTATCAATATTTTCCAAGCATTTGAATACACTGCCATATATGATATATGTACACGCACGCATATATATAATATTCCATGGTTATAACTTATTACATTGGAATCGTAATCACACACACACATATATATATATATATATATATATGTGTGTGTGTGTGTGTGTGTGTGTGTGTGTGTGTGTGTGTGATTACGATTCCAATGTAATAAATTATAACCATGGAATATTAGTGTTTGAGCTTTTTATATTATATTATATATATGAGACTAAATTAGATCGATGTATTCATATAAATGAAGCCGACCATTGTTGTACGGGTCTTAAGGTGATTGAGTGAATAACGTATGGTGAAATGAATCCATGTAGAAAGTGCTGAATCGAGCGTACCGAAGACGAGTCATAGTCAAGTTCCTAACCGGAGCCCTACAGGTCTCAGAGACAACATTCATCAATATCTTCACTTGGCCTTTGAAGTAAGGGGCATATCCTTTGATTAACAACGTTAGAGGCGACTCATCTGTGACCTCGCGAGGTGACCTGATCTCAGCTCTCAGCACTCTACACTTATTGAACTTTAATCTACCTACTGTGTTTGTCTGTGTTTCTCTCAATCATCTTTGGTTTCGTCTTTTAACAAACTGTCTTTTCATCTCTTTCAACAATCCTCGCAATAAAGTGTGATGTGTCAGTATCAACATCCATATCCCTCTTCCAATCGTTGTCTGCCTTTATGTACATATGTCTGTTGATAGATAGATAGATAGATAGATAGATAGATAGATAGATAGATAGATAGATAGATAGAATGGTATAGAGGATAGACGCCTAACAATCTGTATAGCAAGCACTCTTATCTTTCATAACACTTGATTATTGCAGTGAGTTTGGGCACGGAATTCTCATTAACCTGTGCCAAATTGAAATATATATATATATATATATATATATATATATATATATATATATATATATATATGTATGTATAGCCTATATATATTATATATATATATATATATATATATATATATATATATATATATATATATATATAATAAGATATAATAAAATGCTTAAACACTAATATTCCATGGTCATAATTTATTCCATTGGAATCGTAAATATTTATATATTTCCCATATGTATGTGTATATTTACCACTAATATTATATATATATATATATATTATGTGTGTGTGTGTGAAATAGGTAGGCTAGACATACAAAAGGTTACCAATATAATCAGTATGATAAACATTTATTAAATATTAATTATTAATCATATGACAGAAATGAAGCACGGGGAGAAAGGTTTTCAATTCGGAATTATCGGACACGCCTCTGTCCTTCATCAACGAACTAAAGAATAAACAGAGAAATGGGAATTACTCACCGACAGATGTTTTTGTAGACGTTGTATTTCTAGTGAGAATTGTATTGTTAACAAAAAAAAAAAAACGATTGCTGTCTGATTCTTTGATGTGCGAACCATTTTTTAATTATATATATATATATATACTAGAAGCATGGTCCGGCGTTGCTCGTGCTTGACGCAAAAATCGTACGACTCATACAGCAATCGCTATCACTTGACTTAAAATATTTTTGCCCTTCCTTGCCTTTAAAGGAGTGCCCTTTGACGTGCTGATGTTGCTACATGCCTTACTTCTTGCCTATCTCACACTGCGAATTTTTTCTAACCTCTATACTAAACATTAAATCTGTTGCGAAAAAAAGAACTAAACAAAATGAACACAAAACGATCAGCTTTAAAAAAAAGGACTCGTAACTGGAAAAACTGAATGAAAAAAGAATGTTAACAACAAATACTTTTTCACACCCAACCCAGTTTCCTGAAATATTGAGACTGGTCATACTACTATGTTTCTATTCAAAACCACAAATCCAGCATTCAATATGTTTGATTTGGCAGGGACCTCCATTTTCTTGCATGGAAATGAAAAATGGAATGGAGTTTGCGTATCACTAGCTGAGAACTTCAGTGCAGACCACATTTTTAGCTTTTTTTCGGGGGTAAATAAAGGAACACATCCTAGTGCCTGCCGACTCGAGAGCAGGCTACGTAAAGTTGGCCGTGTGAGAAGCACTGCTCCTCTAAGTGTACACCAATGACAGACAGCGTTTGTCCTTGGGCCTTATTAATTGTCAGAGCAAAACAGGGCGCGACTGGGAATTGAGATCTTCTGAAAGTGAAAGGTACGTCGGCATCTGATGGATACAAATGCATCCTTGGGATAAGCACTTGCTGCCCTTTACCGCAGCCAGTTATAATTTTGGCCTCAATAATGTTTGGGTGTAGGGCCTGAATAACCATCCTGGTCCCATTACAGATTTTCGGTGAACGCAGGTTTCTAAGCAACATAACCGGGATCCCCACTTTAAATTCCAGAATGTGAGGAGGGAGACCAGCGGGGTGGAGGCTGTTTAAGAACTCCACTGGAAGCGTCGCCATTTCAGCGAGGTCTGGAGTTCTGTTAATGGATTTATAAACGTGCAACACCCCTGGCACAGTTTCCAGAAGCTGTCTATTAAGGGTTGTCACAGTGGTGTTTTTTGGGGCAAGAATGGCACGCCCAGCAAGCCACTCAATATTGTTGTAGTTGGTTTGAAGATCAGGAAAAACTGATTCCATGTGTGTTGCTGGCGTTGTGACCACTGTAGACAACCCTTGGACGTTTACAAATCCATTAGTGTCCGCTGGAATAATACCTTCGCCAAGGGCTAATAATGTATTCGAAAATTCGGCGGACCCAACATCGCCAGTTAGGTGTGCACGCATGTTGGTGGTAAGGTGCAATGGTCTAACAGTCTAAAAGTTGTGACGATTTCAAACACGCTCGAATAGCGTCGGCCCTTGTCCCCTTAGGTACAACGGGGAGGGTCTGGCGAAAGTCACCGGATAGAAGGACAGTTATACCTCCCATAAGGTCATTGGAGTTTCGAATATCCTTCAGAGAGCGGTTTACAGCCTCGAGTGCAGTTTTGGGTCTGACAGTGCACTCATTCCAGATGATGAGATTAGATTGCCTGAGTACCTCCGCTAGACCTGACTGCTTGGCTATACTGCATACAGCTGTTTCTGTCTTAATCAGGTCAAGCGGAAGTTTAAACGTTGAGTGCACTGTTCGGCCACCCGGTTGTAATGTGGCAGCAATGCCTGAAGACGCTACTACTAGCGCCACTTCACCATGGCGCCGAATTTCTGCAAAAAGCAGTTTTGATACGAACGTTTTTCCCGTTCGCCCAGGCGCGTCCAGGATGAAATTTGATCCTGTATCCTGCCTGGTAGATGCAAGAACCGTATCGTAAGCGGCCCTTTGGTCTATGAGAAGTTTTGGCTCATTTGTTGTGAAATAGGCGTTGAGCTCCTCAACAGAGTAGGATGTCTCCCGCACAATCTCAGGTGAGAGACTGGAGGAAGTCACACGATCTGGCGTTGGAAGCCCAATAGCGGCAAGAGATCCCCCATTTCAACGAACAGGTTCTCAATGATTATAAGCGCCCTGTTGTAAATTCCATCGTTGAATGTAAGAGCCATTGTTGGACACAGCAGTTGCGCTTCCCTGAGTATGTCTTCGGACAAAAAGTCCTTGTATTTGTCCCAAAGTGATTTGGATCACTGGGTTCGCACATTTGTAAGATTGTGGTGAAGAGGTGGCGCAAAGCAGAGAGCATTTTTAAAAGAGCTCTCTCAGCCATTCTGGCATCTCACTAGCTGTCGTCTTCCAAACGGCCGAGACGGAGGCAGGTCTCACGAAAAGTGTCACATAAAACTCCATTAACCGTCCGTAAGTTATTGTAGCTCGTTGGACCACTAACTTCGTGCAAAAGAAGTCGCAAGTAAAAACATTCCTGTCGCGATGGGGAACCGTGAATTCCCTTCCGAGTGTGGCGTCTTTTTTTGACGCCTGGATAGCCCTCGACGTTGGCTCCGCGCTTCCGCCGAGCCCAGGTGTTTTTTTTTTGTCCACACGTAGTATGAAGGCACGTCTGGGTACAGTAGAGTCCTAGCAAACTCGTCCTGTCGACAAAGTTTGAAGAACGCTGTAAGGGTTATGTCTTTGGTACGCGCAGCCACATCCATTGCTGCATCCGCAGAAAAATAACGAAGTTCGTCGTTTTCTAGGTGCACAGCAAGCTGGACGATTGTTGGGAAGCGTTCGTGGATGGGGAAGCTGAATATGTACCAAGGGCCTTCTGTGCTTCTATTGACGCGCCCTGCAAGGAAGTCCTGGATTTCGTCTACGGAACCTTCCTGCCTAATACCAAACATTGCAGCATCAGTCCCTTTGTTGATATACTTGCATACATACTTGATGGAGCGAACTGAATGGCAATATTCGACATTGATGCGCGCATTGAACGCTTTTGTTAGCAGGGGACAGTATGGCACTACCCATCTGTTATCCACTTGGTGGCCCTTTACCACGGCTGTAAATCCTCCCTCAGCGGGACTACTTCGCCGGTACAGTGGATAACCATCGCTCCCTGTAATGGTTTCGCTCACGAAATCTCGTGGGTACTGCCAGGTGCATTTGCCGTCGCTGTTGTGGCAGCTGGTGTAATTGTAATGCGACCCGCAGGGACCATGAATCATGTTGGTTATCACTATTTCGTACAATTCAGGGTCAGCCGACGGATCAGGAATTTCAGCAGAAATAAGATGATAGATTTCTGTGGCCTCAATCTTGTCGCACAGCCAAATTAGTATATGTGCGTGAGGCAGGTCGCGTTTCTGCCACTCAATAGTGTGCATGCGACAGCAAACAGCCCCAAAAACCTGTCCCTTTGTCATCACATCCATTACCTTTGCCAACTTCAGATGGTAAACGCGCGCAATGAGGTCTGGACGGTCGTAGGCCGATTGCCCTGGCATAAGTTCTTTAGCAATTGCGTACCATTTTGGGTTACACGTGAAAGTTATGAATAGGTCTGGTCGGCCGTACTTACGAACGTATGTCATCGCGTCTTGCGTCCTCGCGTGCATGTATCGTGGACTTCCTGTGAACGTTGCAGGTAGTATGCACATCTTGCCTATATTGCGTGGATCAGCGTCATTTCATAAAGCATCACGGAAGTGAATGGAAGAATCGCAGCGAAACTTGGTCTGATTCAATCTAATGTAACAGAGTCTTTCAGATTCCATCTTAGCAGCCATGTCTACTATGAATTGATGGAAAAGTTGCCGGCTTCGATGAAGATGATTGAATGCACCGTCATGTACCATCAACAGGTAGGCGTAGAAAGCCCCGCAAGACACTGTTTTTAAGGTGGACCCATTTTGCAGAATGCCAAAGTGGTACCCATCTTCTCCGTAAGGGAAGAGAAGTGGGTATTGCAGTGCATCGTAGGACCGGTGCGTTTCACTGATTCTTCGGAGCCCACTGCCGCGCGATTCGATAACAATGTCACGTCTGTTGTGCTGATCACCGCTGACAATGACGGAAATTTCGTTACTTGCGGGAGCATTGTAACGACGTTCGTGCTCTCCCTGAGGCCGTTTGTCAGCATCAATTACAATAATGAAATCAGAAGTGCTATTTTCGAGAGCATACTTAAAACTGCGGACATAGCTGTTTATCTCGTGGAGCATTTGTTGGAGACACATTATGATATCCCTGCGAGGATGATTGTGCTGGCCTGTATCGTTCTCGGGAATAATGCCTATGCGGGCATCTCCCTGTTGATTGTAGTCAGCTATGAAGTATATTTGTAGAAAGGCCGAATCAGTGGCAGTTTCCGGCAAAAGAGACCCAATCCGGTGGTAAACCTGACCTTGAACCTTGAAGGTGGGATTCCAACCGACTTCGCGGAAGGCATTACCACCAAAAGAGGTCATCTGGAAGGCACAATTGTACCGTCTGATTTTTGCGAGGAAATGTTTGAAGTCTGGACTGGAACCCTCCAACAGAGCTTTCAACGGAGCAGGTAGCTCTTGAAAAGGTGGCAACTGTACCTTACCGTCTGAACAACACAAACCTGCAGATTCTCCAGGCCATTTTTTTGGCATTGCAATGCCCACAGACAACTGACATGGATTCTATTTGGAGGTCTTTGCGACCAGAAAGCCTCAAAACTGTCTCATAGTTCAACGCCAGCTTAAACTAAAACTGCTTTGGTGGGGTACAGAGCCCTCGCAGTGCATGGCGGCGCTGGTTAACAGTCTGCAACCTTTCAAGCCTTTCAGTAGGTCCTTCTACAGCTCTAGCAGCGGAAGTTGAAATTGCATCGCGTTGCCGCCTTGTGCGCTTTTGCGCGGAACTTTCCGACGCCCTTGCAGTAGAAGCTGCAGCGGCGTCTGATGCATGGCGTGCGATTTTCTCAGCCAGGGATTCCTGGGACCGTCGAATGGACGTTGCCGCAGCTTTCGCTGCGTTACGTGCAGTTTTCTCGGCCGTGGTCTGCTGGGACCGTCGAATGGAAGTTGCAGCGGCGTCGGCTGCATTGTGAGTAGCTTTTCGATGTGGGCTCTGTCGAGACCGCAAAAGCGCTTGTGATGAAGCCGCTTTTTTGTTGTCTTGCAAGCGTTTAGGTAGTTTCCTTTTATTTTTCAATGAATATGTGTAAACTGATTTGCAGTTCAAACGGTAGTTACGCTCACCAAGCGTTTCATGTGACAAAACATACTGCCTCCGTTGAGATTGACTGGAAAGCCTCAAAGAGGCCTCTACCTCGGTTTCCTCCTCCCGCTTTCTCTTTGCCGCAGAGGCTCTTTTAGAATGCCTGCTAAGGTTGCCTCGCCATGGTATTTTGGCACGCTTAACAAAGCTGCCGGATCGGTCATCGCCACGGCACTCAGAAGAGTGCAAAGCAGAGGTTGAAGTAGACGCCAGCCGCTTCTCCCCCAAGGAGGCGCACTCAATGGAATCCTGCTCCAGTTTCCCCTTAGCAGGTGAGGCTTTTTTAGAACGCCTGCTAAGGTTGCCTCACCTGGGTGTTTTTGCAGCCTTTGCAGAGCTGCCGGATTGGTCATCGCCACGGCACGCAGAAGAGTGCAAAGCAGAAGTTGAAGTAGACGCTATATGATCATCTGTAACCGGAGTTATTATGTGCTCATCCGCAGTCGCCTGTTCTGCATGTGTAACGTTAACGGTATTAGGGGTCTTCAGTTGCTGACGTGCGGATGTTCGTCGTGTAGGAGCCATTTGAAGGGTTGTAGAAATGCTGTGTAAGAATGCGAATAGAAGTTGATGCCGAAGCTGAAGCGGTGCAACCTCGTTGTATACGAAAACTAAAAATGCAGTGGAGCGGTATGGAAAAAGCTTCTAGCTATGGGCCGTTCTTTCTGGCAGCACGAAAACGTCGCTGTAGGAAGAGGTCAAACGTTGAAGGTTAAAAAGTAGTGAAACACAGAGGTGTACAGGGCCGCGTAGAAAAGGCAGAAGAGAAGTAACTTGCGACAGCAGTTAACTGTCTAATAGCAAAATTGAACTAAAAAAGGTAGAAATAGATATGGAACGCTAACATGGACTGGGCTGCGCATTAAAGGCAGCACGCGGAGATAAAATGGGTAAAGCAAACGTATAAGCAAATAGGCAGTGAAGTACTGAGGTGTAGTGGGCCGCGTAGTAAAGGCAGTACTGTAATGTGGACGTAAAATAGGTTGGGCAAACGATTGAGTAAATAAGTGTTCTGGAGTGATTTCACAGTGGAGGCTTGTATTTGTACTAAGTCGGTCCTAAAATAGGTTCGACGTCCAAAACGTTAGGAACTTGATATATAATAGGTATAACGCAGAGTAATCTAGTGGTCGCCGATACTTTAGTATTCGACTGTCGTCCAGCATCGACTGACTGACCGACCGACTCACCGACTGCCTCTTTACTCTTACTACTCCTACTTATTATAGGTAGGAGAGTCTATTAACTATAGAATAGGTGTGTCCCACTATAACAATAAGTAACTTGCGACAGCAGTTAACTGTCTAATAGCAAAACTGAACTACGAAAAGGTAGAAATAGGTATGGAACGCTAAGATGGACTGGGCTGCGCAGTAGAGGCAGCACGCGGAGATAAAATGGGTAATGCAAACGTTTAAGCAAATAGGTAACTTGCAGTAGCAGGAAGCTGTCAATTAATCCAAGGACAGATGCGTTAATGGCGATCAAATCAATACGTGAGGGCGGATGCAGCCGCGCTGAAGGTAATTAAAGGAAGCGTGACTTGTCATGGATTGATGTAGCCTGGACAATTGTCATGACTTAGACCAATGAATGAGTTCACGCAAAATGGAAGATGCTAGCGCGCATTCACGCACGCGCGCATGATTTGGCAAGCGCAAGGCTTGGCCGTAAACGGGGTCAAGCTGCCTGCTGCATATGCATCTTGGCTCTAACGCACGTGATGCCGGCGATGAGAAGCTGCAATGAAGCGTTTGCTCCTTTGGTTTGTGCGACAACGAAAAGCCGTTAACCGTTTGCCGGCATTAGCTTTGAAATGGATTGGGAGGAAACCCTGTTGCTTTAGCGCAAAACTCCTCGTCAGGTCTGGGATGCGGCCTGGGCTAGGGGAAAAGGTTTAAAGAATTGGAAAATGGACTGCTGAGGGTGGAACCATTTTCACTCAGCACGTATGCGGGTTTTTTTTTTTCAGTAAAGACGCGAATAGAGGAATTGCTTATTTTGGTAAGATGCGACGATTAAAGCAAAAGTGTTGACAAAGTCGAATATGTCATTTGTGGCTCAAAGTCAGACCTGGTAGCAGGTATAAAAAAGCCGAATTTCAATGGCCCTGCACCGGTTCCAGAATTTGAGGTCGAATGTTTTCTTCCACTCCACTGCACGCACCAACCTGTTTCTTCCCGCGCATAGCGTGACCTTAAATTAATCTGCATTTAGGAAATACCCAACCGGAAAAACATTTTTAAGTGTTGACCGATTGTTTATTTGCCCTCTGTTTGCGGGAGGCGCTCAGAGTTGAAACTTCACATGATGACTCCCAATGGCCTCTTCATAAATCCGACCGGTTTTCGCTAAAAACCGACATGCGGTTCAGGTGCAATCTGGGCGTATCGGCTTTTGGGTTTTATCGATTTTCCGCTCTGTTTAAGGGGTCCATGGTCATGAAACTTCTGGACAACCCTTCTAAAGGTCGACTCTAAGAGGGTGTCAAATTTGGTTGAAATGCAATAATTCCTTCTGTAAGCGGATTTTTTCGATTATCGATTTTTTCGGAAACTGAGTTCGAACCGAAAAATTTGGCTGCCCCATGTCCTTAAGGCAGCCATTTTCAAACTTGTGGTGAAAACCGCATCGAAATCAGGTGAGAAATGCGGCCTGAGCGAGGTAACAACTCCCACGACAGACACACAGACAGACAACATGAGAAATATAGATAGTAGGTATATATATATATATATATATATATATATATATAGAGAGAGAGAGAGAGAGAGAGAGAGACAGACAGACAGACAGAGAGACAGACAGACAGACAGACAGACACACAAAGAGTGATGGAGAAAGGGAGTGATGTTAGAAGCTATCAAGCAATATTAAGAGAATGGATTTTTGAAGTGATATATAAAGTTCAATTCTTACCAGATACTAAATAAATATACTCACAAACTGTCACCTTGTTTTAAAATCAATATTAGATAGACAGATAGATGTGTGTGTGTGTGTGTGTGTGTGTGTGTGTGTGTGTGTGTGTGTGTGTATTTTGGGGTACTGAGAAATATCTTTGTAAATATCTCCATTTATTTAATGATGCATTTATTTATGTAGATTTATTTGCACACAGTTGGGCTGTTGATTCTGTTTAGCAGCATATCAACCTCTATGGGTTATTTAATGTCGAAATGTAAATATTTTGAGCGCATTTGTACGACTTCAACTACAGATAAAATGCATTGGTCATTTTATTATTAATAGGTACTGTTGGTATTTTCTCATATAAAAATACATTGCTGGTAGATTTATTATAAAAATGTATTATTATAGTTTTATAGTATTTTGTTTTGGGACTTTTTTTATCAATAACTGGGTCCCTAACAGGGGCTACAACCTCGAGTCAGGGCATACCTGAGAACAACAGCAATTAAGAAACATCCAATCACCTGATTAGAGGCCGTGCTGCCGGATGTAGTCTCGTCATACCCAGGTCTGGTAATGTTCTGTGGAAACGGCTCTGTGATCGGCTGATGACTTTCAAAGATTTTGGCTGCATCAATGTTTGTAGGTAGCACGGCAAATATTTCTTCAACGTTCTAATGAACGTTCTTTCATTAAATATCCTGTTTTCTTTTTCGTTTTTTTGGGGGGGTTGTGGGAATATTAGTTTCAAGATCGATTGAGTGCGGGAAGATTCACCAACAAAACATCAAATAAATATAGCAAGAATTTTATTATTTAAACGTTATTTCTATTAATGGATGCGCGTATTTGGGTAGTCGCCCTGTTTATTTATCAAAACATACTTGTGGTTGTATAAATCCTTAGTGTATGGTTCGTACAGACCCTTACTCAGGTCAAAGGAGATTGACCACTTTAGCGTTGGTATTGGCGGTAATATTTACTTTTTGGTCCTTAATGAATATCTTTAGGTCCTTTCTCATCCGTTTTGCTTGTCTAGGTTTCAATTTACGAAGAAGAATTATCCTATCGTCTCTGTAAATACCTTTGTTATATATATATATATATATATATATATATATATATATATATATATATATATATATTCTCTTCAGTTTATCTCGATTTCAATCTGTTATTATCTTTCCGAATCTCTCATTCGAATCTTCATTGTTAAGCATGTTGTCGTATATCCAATATAATTGGTTCAGTTATGTGCCTTGCGTAATACATGCTTAGGCAATTATGTATCTTTCGATACATGACTGACGAGGCTGATTTTTACCGAAGTAGGTTGCCATTTCTTTCTGCGGTAGACCATCCAAGACTATAGAACCCGGTTTGTCTTGCTATTTATCCATAACTTAGAAGAGGATTCATGCCTTTCCCAAGGGGCTTAGCACGTAAGTGAATGTAATGGAATCGACTGGAATTCGAACTTGTCTCTCCGATTCCTCAATCCGAGCCGTTATCCATTACTCCACCATAAAACAGTTCCTTCAGAAAGATGTGAATTCGTAAATAATATTGGTTGTCTGTAATTTGGATTATTATTGCTGACAATGAGGTTAGCAGTTTAATATATATTTTTTTAAATTGATTGATATAATGAAGTACAATTCTACATCAATATAAGTATTAATGATGATGAACTTGAACACAAAAAAATAATTACTAAAAGAGCTTTGTAACTAGTACCAAAGAAATTATCTACTTCCCAACAACAGGATAAATATATATATAGAAAAATATCTAGTCATAAATTAATAGATGACCAGAATGAATTTCTAAATCTATGATTAATTTCCATTGTCATTTCTCTCTCTCTCTCTCTCTGCATTTCACTCGTTCATCTCGAAAGTTGCACATAGTCGATTTCAATCTGTTATTGTCTCTCCTAATCTCTCATTCGAATCTCTTAATCACTTATTTTGTCTCTTCTAAGGTCTTGTCCTCACTTTCCGAATCTACTATTCACACTCTCTCAATTTCTGATTCTAACTCTCCCAACCCCTTATACTCTCTTTCGCAATTTCATATTCTCTTTTCCAATCTCTTCTCTTCTTCTAATCTCTTATTCTCTCGTAATCCTTTATTCTTACTTCCAGTCTTTTCTTCGGTATCGATCTTTTATCTTCTCTCTGAATCTCTTATTTGCTCTCCCAATCCCTTATACTAATCTCTCTCTTTCTCTATCTCTACCTACCTACCTATCTATCTATCTAAGTCGCTAGCTTTCTTCTTTCCTTATCACTACGTTTAAATATAAATGTATATTTGCAATTCTTATATTGATATTTATCAAAACTGGCTTCGTTCAGTAGGCAGCCAGTTTTAAAAGGACAGTGTCAGTCTTCCGAATTCTATATTTCTATAAATCACTAATGGAAATCATCGTGTTTACCAAGGACGGAACAATAATCATTTATAATAGAAAAAGGAGTCGCTAATATTAGAAGCCAACAATTAATTGCCCCGATTTTTACAAAATCTAAGTCACAGACTTAAGAAACACGTATGCTTTACAAAAATAAAATTAATGTAAACGTTATATATGAATGCATGGTTTTATT